GGCTCTGAGCTAACATCTATTGCCAATCCTCCTCCTTTTTTTCCCCCAAAGCCCCAGTAGATAGTTGTATGTCATAGTTGCACATCCTTCTAGTTGCTGTTATGTGGGACGCGGCCTCAGCATGGCCAGAGAAGCAGTGCGTCAGTGCATGCCCAGGATCCGAACCCAGGCCTCCAGTAGCGGAGCGCGCACACTCAACCGCTAAGTCACAGGGCCGGCCCCAACAACACACCCTTATTTTTGTTTTGATCCATCATGATCACTGAATAGGTTTGTCTGATGGTGGAAGTGAGTGGCATTTTCTCTTCAGCAGGATGAGACCTAGCCTTCAGCAGGCAGCTCCTGGTCCTCTGGGACAGCTTTTGCCTTTCCTGCTTATTATCAGAACGCTGATGTATTTCCTACGATGTGTTAGACACTGTTTACCATAAAGTACTTGAGTTAAAATATAGAAATTCACCTCTTAATCAAGTAGGTAATACCTTTAATATCTCTTTTATGACTTAACTCAGGCCTATAAGTTTAAGTAAATTGTGAGAGACCACATACCTAGCAAGAGAGAAAGACAGGACCATTGTTCCAAGCAAGACTTTCTTTCTCAAAAAGTATATCATTGTTGCAAGTTTTTCAACATGCCTCATCTACCAGACACCATAGATTCAAAACATACCCAATTTAGCACAAATAATCAAGGGCACTGTAGGATTTGGATGTAGAGACACAAAACAAACGAATTCTTGTAGTCCTGGTGTTTATATTTGTGGGAAAGGAGAGGTGTTAAATGGTAAAACTTCGGTTTATAAGATGGAAATAAGTGATTTGGGGCCGGCTCCGTGGCTTAGCGGTTAAGTGCACGTGCTCTGCTGCTGGTGGCCCCGGTTTGGATCCCGGGCGCGCACCGACGCACCACTTCTCCAGCCATGCTGAGGCCGCATCCCACATACAGCAACTAGAAGGATGTGCAGCTGTGACATACAACTATCTAGTGGGGCTTTGGGGAGAAAATAAATAAATAAATCTTAAAAAAAAAAAAAGTGATTTGAAGGAAAGTAAACGATGTGTGATAATAGGGGGGCTGGGGTGTGTATATTCTTTTCTATGAGAGGAGGAGCCCCAGTGAGGGAGGATGTCATTATTGATCACTTGAATTTCTATCATGTAATTCATCTTAAACACTTTCATGAACTGCTTGGGTGTGGAATAAATAGACGGTGGCAATATAGAAAGTCCTGCTTTCTTTGATTAACAAAGATTCCCCAGTAAAGTAAAAGTATAGGGCCAGCCCCATGGCTTAGCGGTTAAGTGCGCGTGCTCCGCTACTGGCAGCCCGGGTTCGGATCCCGGGCGCGCACTGATGAGCCGCTTCTCCGGCCATGCTGAGGCCGCATGCCACATACAGCAACTAGAAGGATGT